AGTTTAAGCCATTAACATTTAGGGTTATTATTGAGATATTGGTTGTTCTTCTAGCCATATTTGTTTATTTATGTTACTAAACATGGTTTGTTTTCCTCTTTGATTATTTCCCCCCCCTTTACTGTACTACCTCCCACTGTTGGTTTTCATTGTTATTTTCCATTTCCTCTTCCTGTAATGTTTTGCCAAGGATGTTTTGAAGAGGTGGTTTTCTAGCTGAAAATTCTTTTAACTTTTGTGTATCGTGGAAGGTTTTAATTTCATCTTCCATCCTGAAGCTTAATTTCGCTGGATACACAATTCTTGGTTGGAACCCATTTTCTTTCAGTGTTTGAAATATGTTATTCCAGAATCTTCTAGCTTTCAGAGTCTGTGTTGAAAGATCAGCTGTTATCCTGATTGGTTTACCCCTAAATGTAATCTTCTTCCTTTCTCTTGTAGCTTTTAAAATTCTCTCCTTATTCTGTATGTTGGGCATCTTCATTATAATGTGTCTAGATGTGGATCTCTTATGATTTTGCACATTCGGCGTCCTGTAGACTTCTAGGATTTGGGATTCTGTCTCATTCTTCAAGTCTGGGAAGTTTTCTCATATTATTTCATTGAATAGATTGCTCATTCCTTTGGTTTGGACCTCTATACCTTCCTGTATCCCAATGACTCTTAAGTTTGGTCTCTTTATGTTATCCCATATTTCTTGGATGTTCTGCTCATGGTTTCTTAACAGTCTTGCTGAACTGTCTATGTTCTTTTCAAGTTGAAATACTTTGTCTTCATTGTCTGATGTTCTATCTTCTAAGTGTTCTACTCTGCTGGTAGTATTCTCAATTGAGTTTTTAAGTTGATTTATTGCTTCCTGCATTTCTAGGATTTCTGTTTGTTTGTTTTTTATAACCTCTATCTCCCTGTATAGTTGATCTTTTGCTTCTTGGATTTGTTTATGTAATTCATTGTTGAAGTGATCTTTCATTGTCTGATTTTGCTGTCTAATGTCTTCCTTGATACTCCAGATCATCTGAAGCATGTATATCTTGAATTCTTTATCTGACATTCCATCTGCTACAGCTATTACCACTTCTAAAGTTGAGTTGACTTACATTGCTTGTGGTCCTTTTCTTCCTTGTCTTTTCATACTGCTCACATTTCTTTCTGCTTGGTGAAACTGTTGTGTTATTGAAATTTCCCCCCTATATATTTATATTGCTCTTGTATAGTTGAAAAGTCTCCCTTGCAGGGTCGGGCGGTGGCGGTGCTCCTCCTCCAATTGGTGTGATCTGTCTACCACGCTGACGGGCTGCTGGGCTTATTCTGCCAGTCGGTCGCAGGTCTGCCTATCTTGTAGGTGCGGCCGGCGGCTCTGCTCTGCCCCTCCTCCAATTGGTTTGATGTGTCTGCCACCCCTGCAGACCCCTGGGCCTGTTCTGCCAGTCAGTAGCAGGTCTACCTACTTTGCAGGTGCGGGTGCCGGCTCTGCTCTGCCCTTGCTCCAATTGAGGTGATGTGTCTAGCATGCCGGTTTGTCGCTGGGCCTGTTCTGCCCGTGGGCGGCGGCTCTGCTCGGCCCCTACTCCAATTGGGGTGACGTGACTACCATGCTGGCGGGTCGCTGGGCCTGTTCCAGCCATGGGCGGCGGCTCTGCTCTGCCCCTCTGGCTTGATGACAACATGAGAGAGACTCGGGTGTTTGTGACTCACTTTCTTTACCAGGAGACCATCTGTTTCTGTCGCCACTGGTATCTATGAAATTATCTCCTCCACCGCTTTCTGATGACATCAGATCTCTGCCATGTTGGTATCCCATGTGAATGGCAGCATTTCGTTCCCTTTGCCGGGTGACTAAAGCAAAGGGTGGGTCCTGATCGGCCCTCACAAGCCCCGTCTCAATCCTATTGCCACTGCCTATGAAGGCTCGGTTGGTATTTACCTCCAAAGTATTCAGCAGCACCCGGACCGAGAAGCAGTTTCCGCGGGTTCTTTAGCCCTGGGCCAGAGCAGTTCTGGGAGCCGGGATTTGGCTGCTCCGTGCTCGGTGTATGTTGTGATAGGAGCAGTTTCCAAGAAGCAGTTTCCACTGGTTCTTTAGCACTGAGCCTGAGTCATTTGTCTGCGAGACGCAGGCGAATGGTACCCTGAAATTACCTGTTCTGTAGCTGAATGAGCTGCAATCAGTTGAAAACAGGGATGGTGATGTCAGTTCTCCAAGATGGTGTCCGCTGCCTTCCTCTGTGTTCTGACCTGTGTGGAGAACCAAATTGTACCACTTCCCTCCCTGTCTCAAACCCAGAATTCAGCACTGAGCACAGTGACTGCACAGCTGGCAGGAGGCCGCAGAATCCACAGCGCTGTATCTTTGTGTTTCTATCTCATCGTTTCCCAGCGTGTGCCGCAGACTCTAGCCACGGAGTGATTTGCTGAATAAGCAGCGTGACCCTCTGTGCGGACAAATCTCTTGTGTTTGAGCCCCGGTAGCTGATCCTCGTGCGATGGAAATCCTTCCTCTAGGTTTTGGAGCACCCCAATTTTGCTGGAAATTCCTAACAAGATAGGTTTTAGCCTTTCTAACTCGTCATTCCCCTGCACAGTGACGTGGTACACGGGGGTGATGCACTCCCTTCGCCGCCATCTTCCCTTCCCCTGAGAGAGAATTTTTTAATATTTACTTTTTAGTTTTCATTTTATTATCACACTGTTTTCCCAATATCCTAGGATGTTTTAAGAGTTTTTTTTGTTGTTTTTTCTGTAGTTCCACCATTTATTTTATTATGAGGTTTACCCTGATTGATTTAACTTCATAACATCAATCATGTGGCATCATGGTATTTTGGTCAGCAGCAGACTTTATGTCCAACCATGGATCTAGCAAATATCTTAGCCATGTACTAGTTAATACCAGTTAGATTCTGTCATTGCACTCAGAAAATTGGAAAATTGTAGAAGATTCTTAGTATAAATTTTCCAGAGTGTATTTCCATAAAGTGAGAAATCATATATGCATATATTTGCAATTATATACTGTATAATTGATATAATTTTTATTTGTTGAATTTTCAAATTTGCTAGTGCTTTTTTAAATTTTATCTGCTTTTCTTTTTATTTGTACTGAAGATTGAACCAAGGGGTGCTTAACAATGAAGCCACATCCTCAGCCCTTATTTTTTTTATATTTTATTTAGAGACAGAGTAGTGCTGAGTTGCTAAGTGCCTCACTACATTGCTCAATACAATATATATAAGACAATATATAATATTGTCTTAGAATTTATGCTCCTTTTTTCTTATCCTCCTCAGTCCCTGGAACTACAGTTGTCCATCACTAGACCTGACTCATTTGCTTTTTAAAAGCACCAATATTGGTATTGGTAACTCTGTGTTATGTTTATCTTTAATAGTTTCTAATTTTGCTCTTTTTCTTAAGACTTTCTATACTTTCATTATTTAAAATTTACTTTTCATTGGGGTGGATGATTTGATAATAAATTCTAGTCATTTTATGACTTACTAATATTTTTGTATGTTTTATTTTCATCTCAGGTATAGATGAATTCCAATTTTTGCAGCTGTATGAAGGTCTAAGTGAAACATAATAACCTGTATGCATATTGTTAAAGAAATGGAACCACAATTTTACCCAGTTTTCTTTTTTTTTATGACTTTTGGACTGTATATGTCCAAAGGACATAAAATCAGCATAGTACATTGACACAACCACATTAATGTTTATAGCAGCACAATTCACTGTAGCTAAGCTATAAAAACAACCATTCAATAATGAATGGGTCCATTCAATGATGACAGGATAAAAAACTGTTGTTTATGTACACAATAATCTATGAATCAGCCATAAAGAAGACTGACTTTATGACATTTGCAAGGAAATGGATGAATCTGGAGATTTTATGCTAAGTATATAAAACAATTTCTTTAAAACCAAAAGTTGAAAGTTATTGCTGATATGTGAAATCTAAAGCTCATAAAGTGGGGAAGGGTAAGAAAAGAAGATCAATAGATTGCACAATGGTAAACAAAAAATAAATAAATGAATAAATAAATAAATAAATAAAAAGGGATGGGGAAAGAAATATAAAAGATATATATCTCTAAGTGAATTCTACCATCATAGCCACCAACAAGGACAGAATTTTAATTAGGATAAGATATATCCCATGCTTGCATAATACTATAAAATTGATTTTACTGTCAGGTAGAACTAGAAAGAACCAATAAAATAAAAAAAAATCATATTTATTTGAAGAGCTATATGTACATTCTACTATAAATATCATACAATATAAACATTGATCACAGTTTCTCTCTCTCTCTCTCTCTCTGTGTATGTATATATATATATATATATATATATATATATATATATATATATATAATTTTGTATGTTAAAAATGTTAAAGTTATAAAAAGAAAGATTCAAACAGGATTGTTGTTGCTTTTTTATATTAATAACATACATAAATCCAATAAAATATTTGAAATTAAATAAACTCTTGAATATTTCCATTAAGTGGTCTGTCTATCTTGTTACATTTCAAAATTTGTCTTATACCATTGGTATTGGAATTACTAGAGATATCACTATACATTCAGAACAGCCACCTCTATCAGAGAAATAACAAATAAGATTTTACATTTTAGTAAATCTCTGATTAGTGGTTGTACAATAAAAATCTGAGGATTCCCTTTCTTAATTACCATAATTTTCTCATCTGAAAAATATGTATAATTTAGATCATTATATAAAAAAATTACAAAATATATATTTTTGTGATAATGCCTGAGTTTTATATTGTGTTTCATAAATTTGGAGTATGTGCATTTTTTTTGAACTTTAAACACTTTTTCTGCAGACGTAGATAATAGTATCATTGTGTTCCAAAACACCACCTACATGATAGTCTACTAACTCTCATTTCCACTTCAATTACATTACAGAATGTGCAAATTTTCATGTGGTAAATGTGTTATTTATTTACCTATTCTTATTTTAGGAATGGTTAACATTTAGGGATATAGCCATTGATTTTACTGAAGAGGAGTGGGAATGCCTTCAGCCTGCTCAGAAAAATTTATATAGAGATGTGATGCTAGAGAACTATAGAAACTTGGCTTTCCTGGGTAAGTTTAATTTCCCTTTAAAATTATTAAATTATAATTATTATTTAATTTACTTCTGTTGCAGAGTATCTTCTGGGAACTTCTCTATAAGGATGAGTTTCAGATTTTTGTTTCAAAGAAAAAGAGTATTTTTAGTACAGATATTTTACTCTCTCTCTCTCTCTCTCTCTCTCTCTCTATATATATATATATATATATATATATATATATATATATAAAATTTTACTCTTTAATCTGTCTCTTTCTTGGTGTGTTACACATCCTTCACTTTAGATAAGTTGTACCTAGCATAATTTAGTGATGAAAACTATTGTAATGTCAAGGAGAATACCAAATTAAAAAATGTTGAAATAGTTGTTATTCAGCAGAAGAAATTTTCAGAAGCTTAGGTTTATTTATTTTGATTGTAATCATTGAACATATACTGCCCTATATTTATCACATTTTTAAATTCCTTGTTGTTCTCTGCTTTCTTCTTTAGTGATGTCCCAGTTCATTCAGATTATCCATCAAAACTTACCTTTTGTTGTTAGGGCCAGAATGATCTGTTTCAAATCTTCTTGTGAGGAAACCCTTAAAGAAGCAAACAGAAGAGAGAGACACACACACAGTGAAAAGGAAAAAAAGAAAAAAAAAAAACCAAAAAACGGCCACCCCTCTTCACAGCTGCACATATAATACCCCAAAATTACATAGCTTCTGATACCATGACTACATTCTAAGCCAGTGTTTCTTTAACCCCAAGTGCTATCTAACAAAGATTAGGTACAGTTATTATACAAAAATAGAGCCCCTTCTCCCTAAGGACATTACCACAGAAACTAGATAGTGCACCTGTATAGTTGTCTTAATTGCTTCAAGTAGAAACTGCTGGGCATTAGAATTGTGGGACTCAGGGTGACTGTTACCATCACCCTGACCCTTTCCTGTCTATTTCCAAGGTCGGAATACCTAATATCTCCCCTCTTTTTCAAGGCCTTTTGAATAAATAATATTATTTATCTCCTTAATAATGGTGGGGGCAAAAAATAGGGCAGGAATAGACAGTAGCCAGTGCCAACATCAGTAAACATCCACATATGAATATTTTTGACCCAGATGAAATTGAGTAAACATGAAGTTAACCAATCCAACAAATCCAAAATCTATCATATTGATGAAACTTATTGATGATATCTTTAAGGTAATATAAGCCTTTTGAAATGAAATTACTATTAGAAGTTAAATTGATTGAACACATGTTATTAAACTTCTGATATCCTTTATGATGTAACAATAACAGACAATCAATTGCAGCATTTTTGTCAAGTATGGCTTTACAATGTTTTTTTTTTTTTTTTTGGTTCTTCATTAAGCATATTTACATCCATGGAGGCATGACTAATACTGTTTATGATAGCATAGGTGAGCTTTATAGTAGTTTTATAAGCCTGTATAGCTAGTTCAGGGAAACCCACTAAGGAGAATGTCAAAGCGTCAAATTCTGCCTTAGAGAGAAGCTTCACTTAATCATCACAGTTTTTATCAAGAGGAATAGACCATTTATGAATAAATTGCACAGGATGGTGACCTATTAAATACTATATGGATGGTAAGGACACATTATTCTGCTAAGACAACACTGAATACCATGAGACATTTTTGCAGGTATATAATAATTCCAGACAAAAGCATTTACAGAGTTTTGTGTGAGTTTAGAAATCAAAGCTGTAACAAAGTTTTCTAGAGTACATTCTAACCCTATTTTAGCCAACACCTTTTGAGCTGAGGCTGTTAATGGTTTTAAATTCCTCCAATTAACTAGAATTATAGTATCTTGGGGTCCTCTTTTAATGTTTCTCCTCTTTTGAGGAGAATGATTATTCTCTTGTTTGGATGGACTCTTCTCTTCCAGGGCTAAATGAAACTTAGGAATCAGGTTGTGAAGTACCTAATGTACATTTATAATTGCTATTTTTCATGCATGAAGATAGAGTCCAAACAGGACATGTTGGCATAAGCGTAGCATTCTATGCTTTTCTCCACATGATCAAAGACATAGGATCTTGTCATACTGGTCAGGTGGAACCTCTTGAGAATAAAATATCTATTCAATGCAGATGACCAATTATGAATATTAACTTTCTGTTGTATATTGAGCACATTAACTGTAAATAAAACAAAATTTAATGCATATTAACATAAGACAGGCTAGATCTTTCTTTGTTTCTGTTTTAAAAGTAAAGTATTAGGATACAATTTTCTCACTCAACAAAAGCTCATCCAAAAGAATTATAAGAAATTTTATGATTTAAAACTCTATCTTATTGATTAAAAATTGTGCAAAAAGATGAGATGTAAAGGCAGGGGCATTATCCATCTTTAAACAAATAGGGCCTCCAGGAGCAGATCATGCTTGGTTTCTTTCCATGCTGTTTGCTGGAACTGACTTGAAATTTTCTTGTTTTAGATTCAATGCTGTTAGTAATTTTTTTCTTTTCTTTTTTTTGCAATAATGCATTAGTAATCATAAATATTTTTATGTGAATAAATCATTATGATTCTATTTTGTAATTTTAAAATATTTTTTCTATTTTGATTAGTGATTTAATTTCTGGATCATTGTTTTTTATTGTGGCATGCTTGGATTCTTTTCATACTATATATATATATATATATATATATATATATATATATATATATATATAGTCTTTGACTATACTATCAACCCTACACTTCCCACTTCTCTTTATATATCCTATAAGTCTTTTAGTTTTTACAGTAGTTTACAAGTTGTTTAGACTTGTCTTAAACTTGGTACTGCTTAATAAGCCTCTCCCATATTGGTAGAATTTCAGCTTTGCACACTAGGAATGCCCCTGTCATTTTTTCTTAAAGAATTATTCACATAAACATTATGCTTATTGATGTTAGTATTTTTCAATTTCACTCTCTAAACTTTCTTTAAATAGTTATTTAGTGTTCTTTGAGTAATTCATAACTGTCAGTATCCTAATGTTAAATTCTTAATGTCTTTTTTTTTTCTTTTTTTGTCACTTGGATTAAGCCATGCTTCTCTTTGTTTATATTTGCTGTACTATTTTTATTTGTTCATAAAGGGGCCATCAGTAGATTATATAGTCCATTTTTTTTTGGAAAAAAGCATAAAAACTTTTAAATAAATAAAAATAGGCAAGAACAATGCTGCCTCCCTGTAATATTTGCTAATTGGGAGGCCATGCAAAAGTACTTCATGTTTGAGGGAAGTCACAGAAATTTAGAAACAGCATGGCTCAAACAATATTAAAAAGACTTGTGTTGTAGTTCATGATATAGAATTTTGGGGGTAATCTCAAGCACTACACATGAAACATTAAAAGTTAGATGACCTAAAGATCCAGAATTTCCAGTACTAAATATGTATCTATGAACAATTAAATCACAAAATTGAAGAGATACCTCTGCTTTTGTGTTTAGTGCAAACATTTTTTTCAGTATTAAAGCTAGGGTTTCACTGTGTGTGCCCATCAATATCAAATGTATAAAAATATGTAATTATATACTATTATTATTTAATAATAAAATATTTTGTCTTTTAATGTGTTATAAGGAATATATGCAGGACGTTGCATTAAGTGAATGGTGGGAGGCAGATATTAAGTTGCAGGAGCATTTAATTCACATGTGGAAGTCAGAAATTTATTGAGTAAAATTTTGCTCACCAGGTACTGTCTTTTGTGTAAGGTTGATATTGTAGTCAAAGTCTCCATATTTTTATTTTATTGAGCATGATAGGGTCAAGAGTTTTATGTTACCACATAGTGAGTGTATTATGTTCTTCATAAATACTAGTAGAAGAAATACAATAGCTTGTAAGAACAAAATTGATAATTAAATGAAATAATGGTTGTGTTAATTCATTCTATTTAGTCATTTTACCTTGTATATATAGTATAAAATACCATGATATATTTATAAATAAATAGTTGTATTTATCAATAAAGAAAATTCTCATATCACACAAATGTAAGAATATAAAAATCAATTTATTTTTCTTGATTGTCATGTGTTGACTTCATCCAAGTATTATGGCCATAGGATATGCAAGGTTTTTATAGTCTTTTAAAATGTGTTTATGAAAAATTTTATAGACATATATGTGTATATTTCTTAGTAAATTTTTTGTTCATATTTCTTTTTAAGAGTCCATTGTCTCTTTACCCTTGTTGAATATTTGTGGTATTATCACTCAAAATCTACTAGTTATTTTCATGTCTCTATGTCAAGGTAGACAGAAACCATTTGTGGACACTCTTTGAAAAAGCTAGAAATGTTTGTATATGTTTTACATTTCTCTTATTCTACTGACAGTGAAGGTAGCTGGTAGATATTTCCTAAATACACAATACTATCTTATGCAGAACAGAAGGCTGTTAATGATAAACATAATATACTTTTCTACACTTTATTATATTACTCTTCTAAATGATGTACTCCAAATGGATACTTGGTCTCTACAAGAATTTGGTTAATATTCTCAAGGTAATTTTGTCTGTAAATTTTTATTGAACTAATATATTATTTTTTGATTTATGGTGACTTTGGACTTACTAATCTGCTACACTCCTGATGTACTTTTTTTACCTTAATTTCATGTTATGTATGCAAAATATATTTATCCCAGTCTAATAGGTATTGTTTTTTTTTCTAATTTTTGTTTACTTAAGCCATGACTCCTAATCATACCCAAGAATATTCACCACAAAAGGGCCTAAAACATATATTTCATGAAGTGATAAGTGCAAAATATAGAAGTTGTGATCTTGACTATTTACAACAAATGAAAATATGGAAAACTACAAGTGAGTGTGAACACCAGAAATCATATAAAATATCAGGCCTTGTTCACCACCAGAGAATTCATACTGGAGAGAAGCCCTACAAATATAAAAAATGTTGCAAAGAATTTAGTAAAAAACAAGGTCTTATTTACCACAGAGGAACCCATAATGGAGAGAAGGCCTACAAATGTACAGAATGTGGTAAAGCTTTCAGTCTAAAATCACTCCTAATTTGTCACTGCAAAAATCACACTGGAGAGAAGCCCTACAAATGTAAAGAATGTGGCAAAGCTTTTGGTTGAAAATCAAACTTTATTTGCCACACCAGAACTCACACTGGAGAGAAGACCTACAAATATAAAGAATGTGGCAAAGCTTTCAGTCGAAAATCAAACCTTATTTGCCACAGCAGAACCCACACTGGAGAGAAGCCCTACAAATGTAAAGAATGTGGCAAAGCTTTTCATCAAAAATCATACCTTATTTGCCACAGCAGAACCCACACTGGAGAGAAGCCCTACAAATGTAAAGAATGTGGCAAAGCTTTTCATCAAAAATCATACCTTATTTGCCACAGCAGAACCCACACTGGAGAAAAGCCCTACAAATGTACAGAATGTGGCAAATCTTTTCTTCAAAAATCAAACCTTATTTGCCACAGGAGAACTCACACTGGAGAGAAGCCCTAAAAATGTAAAGAATGTGGCAAAGCTTTTCGTCAAAAATCAGACCTCATTCACCAAAGCAGAACTCACTGGAGAGAAGCCCTTCAAATATAAATAATGTGGAAAAGCTTTTACTCAAAAAAGCAGGCTTTATTTGCCACAGAAGAACTCACACTAGAGAGAAGACTTCAAGTGTAAAGAATTTGGTAAAGCACTCAGTCAAAAATCACACCTATTTGACACAGGAGAACTCACACTGGAGAGAAGCCCCACAGATGCAAAGTATGTGACAAAGTTATTACTCAAATATTACACCTTATTTGCCACAGCAGAATTTACACTGGAGAGAAGCCTTACAAATATAAGGAATGTGGCAAAGCTTTTATCAATTAAACAGGCCTTATTCACCACAACAAAACTCACACTGGAGAATAGACCTACAAATGTGAATAATGTGGAAAACTTAATAAAAAATAAAACTTTATTCACCACAGCAGAAGACATCCTGGTGAAGGTGAAATGTGAATAAAGTGATCATACTTTTAAAGAAAGACTAAACCTTTGGGCTGGGGTTTTCGGTCAGTGGTAGAGCGCTAGCCTCATATGTGTGAGATCCTGGGTTCAATCCTCAGCACCACATAAAAATAAATAAGTGAAATAAAGGTATTGTGTCCAACTATAACTAAAAAATAAACATTAAAAAAGAAAGACTAAACCTTATTAACAACAGAATTTATACAGAAAAGAACCCCTACAAATTGAAACAATTCAGCAAAGCTTTTAATAATAAATCAATTATTTTTCATCACTAGGCTCTTTATTTTGGAAAGAAGACATATAAATGTAGTGAATGTAGAAACATTTTAAATTATTTATCATACATTACTGGACATCAGAGAAAACACACTGGAGAGAAGCTCTACAAATGAGACAATTGTACTATTCCTCTAAGAAAGGGATAACATTTAATCCTCTCCACAATAACCATAGCATAGACAAAGTTTTGAAATGTGAAAATGGACAATGTGACAATGCCTCTAAAATTTATTCACCAATGCTCAACACCTGTAGATACATACTGGTTAGAGACAATACAAATGGGAAAAAAATTGTAGCCACATGTTTCTTAAACACTGCTGATTTTTGGAGAATTCATTGTGCCCAGAAATCCTAAAGGGTTAAATAATATTTCCATAACTTATTCAAATTTTAAATTCTTTGAACATCTGAAAACTCATACTAGTAGTGAACATTAAACAGATTTTGTCCAAATGTATGCCTTATATAACAATGAAACATTTGTAATAAATGACTTGACAAATGTGAGAGTATAGTAAAGTTATTATCTATATATTACAGCTTGATGTATGTATATGAGGATCATTAAAATACAGAACTCATTTAAGTATAGAAAATAAGTAGTTGTCTTTTAACTTTTGCTTAAATTTATTAAGCATTATCAAGTTATTTTGTAGAAATATCAGTCATAAATATCCTACATGCATAGTGAAGAAACCTCATCTTTGAAAGAATATAATTGTTTTTCTAAATCAAAAAATTACTATTTTCACTTTTGAATACTGAGAAAAGAATTATATGAAATATGTTTTTGATGTTTAACACTGAATTGTAACATTTTAAACTGTATTTTTTGTATTTCAGTTTAAATTTAGGTATTTTTAAACACAGAGCCACATTCCTAAGCCCTCCCTCCACTTTTTCAAATTTTGAGACTGTCTTGCTAAGTTGCTTGAAACCACACTAAGTTTCTGAGGCTGAATTTAAACTTCTGAAACTACTCAGCTTCCCAATTTGCTTGGATTACAAGCATGAACCATCATGCCAGGTTTACAGTGCATTATTTGTTACCTATATTTACCTTATGTATGCAATATGTCTTTATGACTGAATTTATTTATATGTTAACACTCATTTATTGCATCCTGTTGTTAAATGACAGACATCACAGTGTTCCACTTGTCTAAATGTTCTATGTGACAGTAACACATACTATTGAGTAAATAATATTCTAGCATCTCTTACTACTTCTACAGATTTTAATCAAACTTAATGTGGAATACAATTTGCATAAGTCATATCATTATTTATTCTGTTTGTATTTATGGTGAAATTAAGAGTTATAAGAAGGATATAGATATAGGGAAATAAGCCCCAGATTTTCATATCTTGAATTATAAATTTTAAAATTTTAACATTTTAACATTTCCTAGTGATTTGAATAGACTGAATTTCCACAAACTTAAAGGTAGCTCTTATGGGAGAGAAGAGCTTTATCTTTCTTGTGTGTGCATAATGGCCTTCTAGACTTCAGCCTCATTGGAAACATTTTTTTTTTCTGTTAATGAGGTCAATAATCAGTGTTTTCTTGTACATTAGTAAATTTTGACATCTTTGTTATTCTATAGGTAGTGTTATTTCAGGGCAGGAATCAGAGAAATGGATGTGGATACAAGGTTGAGTGAGGCCTTATACTTATGACAAAATAATCAATGAGCTATGTTTTATAGTCTCATTTTCTATGGACCAAGTAGTAAGAGGTAAACTGAAGGTTGTATGTAAAGATTAAGTTAATTATCATAAAATGTTGGCAACCAGCTACAATAGGGTAAAGTCTTCTTATACATAGAATCCATACAAAAAGCATATTGAATATCATTCACAATTTTATTAACATTATATAATTCATGAAAAACTCAGTTTACAACAACATATGCCTAATAACAAGGTCTGGGGACATTGTACACTCTCCAATATAGACATATTTATACCAATACATGAAACTATACTAAATGAGAATTAAAATCAATTGGATCAACACAGAACAATATACAAATGAAAACTTGTAAAGATTTAAGCAAGAGACCAATGGTGGATGAAGTGTGGCTTCCAAATGGTTTGGGAAAAATGGACATAGAATCAGTTAAAGGTAATTGAAGAAAGATAAGTTACCCACTTTTAGTTAGAACAGCATTTGAAAGAAAAAAGAGTCACAAAGTAAGCAAAGATTATTCAAATCCATTTGTATTCTTTGTAGTATTTTCCAAAAGTTTTCTACATATTTTATTGCAGTCAAATTGGGAAACAATCCAGAAAGTTAAAAAAGACATGTATTGCTCCTCTGGTTTTAAAAGCAAGAAAAGGAATAGAGAGAGATTTATTGAGCTAGAAAAAATTACTAATTAGAGGTTTTTAAAAAAAAGAACTCAGATTACCAGAGTCTAAGTATAATGTATTTCAGCCATCCCTGGCTTCACAGGGCATTTTCCCTTACCAAAGAATTTGTTCACTTACATACAGCTTAAAGAACATTGCTGTTTTTAATCAGTCTTTTTCATTAATAACAATGATGTACCTTTCAACAGTTTCCAGCCACAAAAATACACAATTTCAGAAATCTTCTGGTTCATCCTCCATATATTCTGCCACAATATTCATGAGGACAAGATAATATAAACCTTTTGGCAGCCCCATCAAGGCATTCACTTCTTTTAATTTTAAGGCCAAACATATAATGCATAGAAAAGTATGATACATGGAGCAACATAATTTTACATGGAACAGCATAATTTTACTTAGTAAAAATATTTTTTTTCAAGAAAAATATATCTCAACTCCTTTGTCTTGGGATTACATTAGAAAAAATATGAGGTAATTATACTGTGTATTATGACATTTGGCTATGAGCCTTAAAATTACCTTAAAATAAAAAATAATATTTAATGTTTATTTTTAAATATAGTTTTTATATTTCAAACATTCAAATCAAATTCCACAGCAATCAATGATACAAAAAACATGAGAAAAATTACTGCAGTTTGGTGTCTCATCATGACATTTCAATACCTGCTGTAGATTGCTTGTGGCTTCCACTTTTAATTTAAAATATAATAATTTTTCCATACAATTTGGGTGAAATGGTGGACAAAATCTCCTGAATTTTTTCCTGGGCAAGCCATCATACTTGAAACAACTGAACCCCAAATCAAAATATGTTTACTCTACGTTCTAAATATATCCGTTCTTAACTAATCTAGCATAAAACAAATCCACTTTCTTCTGATCGAATATCTTGAGCCCAGTGGTATGGAACCTGGGAGCTAAAAGAAGTATGACATAAATAACGAGGTCTTTTTTTTTGCATAAGGCAAATTGCACTTTTTGTATTTGATTTATCTGCTTTTGAAGATCTACATTTCTCTTCCTACAATGGTATTATGATTGATGGTGACTTGTGTGATTAGAGGAGGCTTAAAATGCAGCTACATGTGTTTGAGTCCTTTCACTAGTAAAATAATACTGTAATTTGTACTCTAATAGGAGACTCAAAATGGTGCTAGACAAACCTTTTTTTTTTTTTTTTTTTTTAATCTGCCTCTTTATTCATGGTTTTCTAACGGTTTTGATCTAGTCAGTTCAGACCATTTCTGATTAATGGGTGTCATCAAGATGTAAATTCCCTCTATGTTCAGTAGCAATGAGATAATTCTTCCCATTAAAAATAAAAACATTCTCATAGAGTATTTGCTATATTCTAAGGAACCACTCTTGATTTTGCTTTACTAAACAAAATAAATTCCACATATTTAAGTCCCAAAGTAAATGGCAATGCATTAATCTAAGCACCATTAGGAATATAAGAATTACAAGATATCACTTTGAAATATAAAAAAATAAGAATCATAAATGCTCAGCCATTACCATCTAAACTATACTAGAGATTTTAAAATGTGATCTTCGATGTTCTACTCACTCTCATAGTAAGAGGCCTTAGACTCAAAAATATTTAATCACTCACAAAAGGTCACTCAGTGAATGCATAACAGTTCTTATTCTAAAGCTTTTACAGAATTTTTTGATAATACATTGCAAAATCCCACCTGTCTTCTTTAGAAATAAGACACAAAGTTTGTTTTAGTCTGTTTTATAATGCTATAGAAAAATACCAGATACATGCCAATGTATAAAAAGAGATATAAATGCATAAAAATATTTTCTGAGGTGCTGGAGTTGTGGCTCAGTGGTAGAGTGCTCACCTGACACATGCAAGAAGCTGGGTTCAATTCACAGAACAACATAAAAATGAATAAATAAATAAAATAAAGGGATTGTGTCCAATTACAACTTATAAATAGTTAAAAATATTTTTTTGTGTACAAAGTTCTGAAGATTTATGTGCATTGTACCAGAATCTTCTCAGCTCCTGTGACAGCCCCTTCACCTGCACTACACATGAGATGGCATTATGGTGAGGGCTCATTTGATAGGTAGAGAGAACATAATGAGAAAGGAAGTCACAGAAATTCATAAAGAAGAATTGCTCTTTTTGTAACAACTGGCTTTAATAAAAACTCTCCTGTGTCTCATGAAAGTTACATTAACCCTTTCCAAGAGCATCTCCCCCAGTAATCTGACCACAACTTACTAGATCTCACTTAAACATTCCACTATTTTCCAACTTTCTCCCTTTGAAACTAAGTTCCAAACACATGAGCATTTGGGGGACATACTCAAATCATAATGAAAGTAATATGAGAGAGACAATTGTAAAAATGAGACATAAATGCCATTTCTTAGTAGTTATAAAGATTCTAGATACTACTATAAAATGCTTTAGAGTGTAGAAATTATTTTAGGTTGATATTTTATTTTAAAGACAATAGGGGATTTAATTAAATTACTTTTTGAAGAATGAATGAATTTGAATGTGACAAGACTAATGGGCTAAGTATATCAAAATAAGGGAAAACTCTGTGCAAAACCTCAATGGATGTTTAGTAAACCATGCCCTAGGAATAAAAAGAGAATTCTGGGCTTTATGATTATGCTATATCAAGCCAAAAGTTTACTGGAAAAAATCTTGTGGCCCTCAAAACCAGAGAAAATATTTATATGAAAGATGCAGTGAACATCAGTCTCAAGAGCTTCCTACTTAAACTATCTGCTTCCAAATACTACATGATTCATAGTAATTCTCAGGAGTATTATCTTTCTTTCAATTTCAATTTTTAGCTTTCTATGTAGTTACCACACCATCTCATGGCCAGATCAATATTTTCTTGAACTTCTTCATACATTAATCTATACACTATCTCACATATGCTTGTTTCTAGATTGTCAGGGATCCCTCCTAGTGAATTCTGAGATGTGTGAGAGGTTGAACAAGCATAGAAATTTGCTTATGAAAAATAAGCCATTTAGTAGATGGGAAGTAAAAGGAAAAAAGATGCAAAAGTCCTCATCTAAACTTGTATGTGCTGATACTACACAAGGTTATTTAATGATGTCTAGTTTGGGGTAGGGAAGCA